AATCTGAAAAGTTATCCGATAAATATCGATAATATAAAATCAATAATAATATATAAAATAATAAATACTATATGCTACAATGTGTAGCTTATGGAAGCCGGCATTATCCTTTGAAGCTGGATTATAATTTCTTGGATTATAATAACTTGAACAATATCTTTTGGCTGCTTTTACCTATTTACATATACATACATATATACTTATAGTTCATCTACTTACACTTCTTTCTAGCAGAAATAGCTGCGGCTGCTATTGCCCATACGATTTCTGCTCCTATTTATAGTAGACTCCGCCTTGTACTAATATTACTATTCCTTCTGCACGTACTTCCCACACTTTTGAGCTAAGCCCGTTGCCAGGAAGTCAAATTCTTCCCGAGTTCATCACCATATCGTTTCTCAGCTTATTGAAAACGTATTTCCCTTATTGGATGTGACTGTTCCTTTTCCTTTGTTTTCGTTTTTGTTTGCTATTCGCTACTTTTCTTTCTTTTGCGCTTTAGCTACCAAGGGGAAAATTCAAAAAGTTTTATCAACGTTTTATATGAGAAAATTTGCTATGAAAGAGCGAAAACGTACGGGACCTGATGGCAGCCTCATGCTTTCACTTTGAGCAAAAGACATTTGCATTTTTATTAAAATGAGAAATTGCAGCAGTTGCAGTTGACTGAAATTTTGGCCAGGGATTAAAGTCAAATTTCTTTGGGTAAAATAGTAGTCTTTAATTGGATAGTCACTTGCACTTGTTTGATGTTTCTTTGTTTTCTTTACATAAAATCAATTAAATTGAATCCTCAAGGATTCGGAGTAATTAACAAAGAGAGAGAGAGGCTCGCAATACTTAAGGACTCTCATAGCTTCCGCTTGTATTGCTTTAAGGTTACTTTTGACGGACTCCGGTGAGCTGAGCATTCTTTGCTTATCTACTTCATATGTTGGGTGTTTATACAGTTGCTGCAGCTGCTTGAGTGGGTGTTGGGTAAAATAATAATGAATTTGCGGCATGCCGTACAAACACGCTCAACAGCGACGCCGACGCAGACGTCGGCGCCATCGCACAACATGCGCCAGATTTAGCTCGAGCTATCAAGAAGATGCACATGCATCAAGCCCTTCACCCAGCCCCTTTCCATGCCACACTGGCTGGCAGCACACACCGCCGCCGCCCGCCCGCCGCCTGGGGCCCTAGATGTGTGTGTGGCAGCTAATATGTTGGTTATGTCGCCTCTCGGAGTCGCTGAAAAATGCGGTGACATGTGCTATAGCTACATCTGCTACCGATCCCCGACGGCCGCGCCCCCTGGCCGCTCCCCCTGGCCGCTCCTGCGGTCCACTTCACAGCTGCTCCATTGAAACAAATGCGCAGGGCGTGCGTACGTGTATCCTAGGCCAGCCTAGGCAGAAGGGGGCTCGGAGAGCTGCAAAGCTTTGATGCGCTGAACAATAGCTATAAAAAGGATTAACTTGCATAACAAAGAAGATGGAGCGTGTGTCTATGGTGGGCGTGTGCGGCCTGGGTGTGCATGTGTAGGCGGCCAACGATGCGACAGGCAGCTGGCGTATAAATTTCCTAGAGCCAACCAACCAGCTGCCTGGCATTGGTCCATGGTCTACCAAATTTATAGTTCCTACTCTACCCGGCTCTGCTTACAGCAGAGATTTCCATCCAGCACATTGTTTGTCCTGGGCTTCGTTTCTCTCTCGATTGCAATTATTTAAGCAAAATTATTCTCACAGCTAGCAAATTACTTAAAATGTTCATTAAACTATTTGAGCAGAGGGCGGAGCGGACCAGGCGAGGATGCAATAACGAACCAGAATTGACATGGTCAAGGAATCAATAAATTATTATGGGAAATAACCAAAGTTGCATTTCAAGCAATTCCTAAATATTTACATAGGAATATGCATATGAAAATTACTTTGAAAATTACTTTGAAGAGTATTAATTGCAAAATGTAATTGAGATACCAAATCAATCATAGGTATATAAATATAATGAAAATGCAAGATGAAGATATTTTAAACCCGACTTTTAGATAAGCAGACTAAAATTGGTCAACTTGAAGCTATTCTTAAATGTTCAAATCAGCTCAGCTCGTCGTCCGGATGAAGAATATACATACATATATACATATATGTATTCCTTCCCTCTCCTATATACATTTTACCAAACCCAAAATAATCGCATTTTCTATATTCATTTCAAGAATTTATACATCCTTTATTTGGGATTCTTGTAAAATGATATGTAATATGTAAAGTCTAACACGTAATGTCTAACGCATAGTATCTAAGGCAAAATGTGTAAGGACTTAGGTGTAATGACTAAGGTGTAAAGTGTAAAATGTCCAATGTCTGATGCGTAATGTTTCAGCCATGAGTATGGGATTGCACGTATTAAGTGAAAAAAATGAATTGCGGAGAAAACTATGTGTATATAGTGTAAATAGTGTACAAAGAGCGCTTTTAGTGTATATAGGTTACATAGTACATATAGTATATATGGTATATATATATAAATA